TCTTCTGCAGTCCTAGAAGCATCGGTTGTTTCAACCGAAATCAACCCCTTTTGAGGATCGACCGATGAAGACTTGGTTGGTGCTAATTTAAGCACCTGGGACAACAGTTCAGCACCCAGAGCAGATTGGGATGCAATGGTTGATAACTGTGAGGAGAGAATCAGAATTAGAAATTGAATATCATTTTGGGAAGAGGATGAATTGATTTACCTGTGCAGATGATGGTCTCGTTCTATGAAGCCTTTTTCCAGTGATTGTTTTCTGGGTTGTCCCCTCGGCTGCCTTGCGTCTTGAAGATTGGTATGTTACAATTATAGAAGCAGCCTGGGTTTTCATTAGCTTCTTCAGTGGAGGTACAGTTGATCCCAGTCTCGAGATTGAACATGGCGGATAATACTCTATGGCATGCCCTTTTCTGTCCACAATTGGGGGATTGAATTCAGCATCCTGTAAGGGGGTTCTGTTAGATAAGTTGATAGAGGGACTTTAGTAGATGATCTTTATAAAAGAAAATGAGTTAGCTAGTTACCTCACTGTTAGAAGCAAAATCTTCATCCAGAGCTATGCAGCTAGGATGAACTAGCCTACAGAAGAGGTGGGAGTGTCATTCTTGCCACTAGAGATCATATAAATGGAAAGTGAAAGAGGCTCTAGTCCATTCATGCAGATAGAGGGAAGGAAGATCTGATCCTAACTGAAAAACTCTAGAAGCTTCCAATGCCTCACTGATGCCTTCTCTCAGTTTTAGTATATCTTTAAAAAATAGTTCAGGGGGTAGTTGACCAAGACCAAATTGACGAGCTCCGAAAGAGGGGTTGTAAAACTCATAGGTTGGAAGGTTGCCTGGAAGGAAGGAACCTATAGATATTTTACCGCGGCCATGATAAAATTAGGCTGGAAGAACGCAAGGTTTGATGAAGGAATTGAAGATTGCAGCTACCGTTTCGTCTGAGCAGCCTGATTCAAATTGAAATTTGAAAGGGACGACCAACTCATTGTTCTCATCCAAATCATAGGGTAACCAAGTCAGAATATATGCATCAAACCGTCTATAAAACTTTGTGAAGAGATGGCCAATAGCGACAGCAACTGTTATGGCTGATGCAGCTTCACTATAGTTCATACACTGACGGGTTCTTCCTTCTTCGCCTCTATATTTCTCATCAAAGTTGGAGGTGGGAAAGCTCAAATTCTAAAGATTTGGCTTTACAATCTTATGCATATACAAATTTAACCACATTTGTATTAACCACCAAGGGCCACTATGGAGTGCACTGCTTCATTCTTCAGCAGCTAAGCGGCCACCTGATGCATCAAATGGTAAGCTGATCCCAACAGATACTTTCTAAGAGGAATCTCAATGCCTACTGCTAGGCGCACTGCCATGAGTTTTTGATTCTAAGTCGGACCACAAGATGACCCACAGAAGATGAATCTTTCTAGCCACATGTTCAGAAAAGCCACATGTTCTCTTTCGTTAATAGTCGATTAATTCCCGATGTGGTTCTAGAAGTAGCTTGCCCATCCTATGCAGTATGATATTTTGGCCAGTTTCTTTGACCCAGCACCTAAGAGTTCATATGGCTACATTGGTCCTGTTATTCTAAGGCCAGTCAACATATAAACATTGGCCAAGGTAATAGTTATTGGGTCATGACCAAAGATGAAAGCATTAAAGGTGTTGGAGCAGAACCAAGAAGCAGCAATTAGGAGTGAATCATTTCTCTCCATTCTAGATAGTGAAAGAGTCAGGCATTGGATTAAATCATAAACTTCCCAGTCTCCACCCTTTTTGTCTAACACTCTACAGAACCAGTCTCTCCATCCCTTAGGCATTTTGGGCCAATTCCTAAAGGGATTTTTGGTGCTCCAAGAAGATAGATCTACCAAGGACTGCCTAAAAGGAATTTGATTGGTTTCTTATTTGATAAAATCTGAAGGATTAGCATCTCCCATGGGTCCAAGGTAATAAGCATTTGGAACAACAGACGAAGGGATTAAATTTCATTTTCCATCCCCTGGGAAGCCAGATGAGATAAACTTAAGGAAGAGAAAAATATAGAGTAGCGGCTGATAGTTGAAGGACGGAAAATTGGAGACGTACCTCAGGGATGTAGTCACTGGTCGCCATTTTAGTTGGAATAGATCTAAATCCAAAAAAAGGTTGCAGAGGAATGACTCAATGAATAGCTCGAGCAGAGGGAAAACTTCTAGGGTTGGAGCTCTAGTGGTGGCGGCTTTGGTTGTGGAGGCTCGCTCAAAGAAGAAGGGAAAAGCGAATGGGCCGAGTGAATCGGAAATGATACTGTTGAGGTATTATATAAAATTCAGACCGAGAATATCAGGAGTCACACGTATATTTCAGAATAAATGGTTGTGACATGGTAAACAGGTAAATAGAAATTTTGGAATAAAATCATTTTTATCCCAAAATTGGGAGGCATGTGTTTACACCAAAATTTGGGAAGAAAAACGCGGGAACTAGAAGCTTCCAAGATTGTGTCATCAAGAAATCAATTGTATAAGGATCGATATCAGCTGATTCAGACGTGGTACTAGGATCGGCTCTCTTCGGATGACATCAGCAGATAACGTCAATGAGCTATGGTTGGCGTCGAGAAAAATATATCGGACTCTACAAAAAGGGAAAGATTAGGGTCCAAGTTATCTTAAGTTAGGAATGTTTTCTCTTATACCAAAGATTGTAATGAGTCGTACTTAGTAGGATTCATGTTTAGGTTCCGGGTATAAATATTGAACCCTGGCTATTGTAAAAAGAGATCAAACAAATCAATACCAATTACTTTTTTCGGCTTCACGCCAACCCTTAGGAGTAGGAGTACTGTAGATTTCGGCAAGTTCTTCAACAAGCAGGGCTGCATCGATCCGGTCGACCTCTGGCTTGTCTGTAAGTACCGTCATGGCTTATACTTTTGTTTGTAAGATTGCATCGGTCCGGCCGACCTCTTACGAGCTCTAGTATGAATTAGTTATCAATTCTTATCTAGTTCAGGTATGGTTGCATCGGTTAAGCTCGACCTTCACTGTTCGAATTGGATTAAGGTCAAGTTATCGGCTCTATCTAAGGGTGGCATCCTTCGAGTAGATTCATTAAGTTACCGATCTTGCTCATGTTCTTGTTTTCATTAAATTTTAGTAATATCAATCTGCCTAATCGAGATCGATTTAGATAGGCCTCATATCCTTTTAGTTCATCGTTTATTTTGTCATATTGCGATGGTTCTTACTTTAAACGACGGATTATATTTTATCGGCTGTTCTACTTCGATCTTGATCGTGCATAGTACACGGCTAAGGCATATCTGATCTTGAGAAGGTTTACTAGCTAGTTGAATCTGGTCTATACCTTGCTATTATGGCTGTAACGATCTAGCCATCCCCACTGTTAGCACTTTAGATCAGAGTATACTAGTTGGTAGATTTGCTTTCGACCAGGCATGACCTTGGCTGTTTGCTATGCCTGCATCGACTAAATAGCCGATTGCCAGTAGTTTAACACTTATAGTGTGTCTTCATAATTCTGTTAAATGTGAATAGATCTGTTTACTATAATAGTTTGATCTGTTATCTTTATCATGTCTGCCATCGATCCGGTCGAACCCCACTGTTAAGGATAACATGTTATATTTGATGAGTTTATAGATCTGTCCATATTAAATAGTCGATTATTCACATGCTGTAATCCCTTTCTTACCTGAATTGGCTACCCCTGTGCTTTCACAGATATGGCACGCTTTCGTGAACATGTTGACGTATGGTCGGTTCTATGGATTTTCGAGCTTTAGATTATTGTCGTCATCATAGCTGCATCGATCCGATCGAACTTCACTGTCGGTGGTAACGAATTAGATCTAGATAGTTCGTAGATCCCTATATATTTAACAGTCGATTGTTTGTGTAGCATATCCCTTTTTCACCGGATTCATTGGCTCTACACCACGTATTGATTAAATCTAATTTAGCCAGTGATATATCTTTGGCGCATACATATTAATAGTTTGAGGGAAAGGATCATTAAAACTGGATGCGTTTACTATAAAACCGATCATGACCCACGAGCGTTACAGTCCTTAACAGTCAATTTCTTCTCGTATCGGCTATATTAGGCCCCCCCCCGTTTGGCCGGGCTCCGGCGGCTCTGGCTCCCGCACTGTTCACCTATCGGCTCGTGGGCGGCCGACAGGACGCTACACTGTTCACCGAAGCCGTTTTTCTCTCTCCTTCTTTCCTCTCTCACTGACACCACCGGAGCCAGAGAAGCTCGTTTTTCTGGCTCCGGCGGCTCCGGCTCCCGTTGGCACCTATCAGCTTGTGGGTGGCCGACATGACGCTACAATGCAGGAGTCGAAGCCCGGCCAAACGGGCCCTTAGTCGATTTTTCCGTCTGGTTGCTCTTGAAGCGGCATACTTGAAACTGTCTGATCAAAACCAGCATGTTCCACCTTAAATTACTGATAAACTTTCTCTCCTTGTCAATTGCAGGTCAAATTGACTGGCACGCCCTCGAAAAATTCACAAGATCGACTGGTCCTACATTGAAGCCAGACAGATCTCCAAATCGTTCTGCCTTGCTGCGTGTCCACCCGACGCGGCTACCACGATTTCGCGCCGACAGAAGTGTTGGAGGAGCAAAATGTGTTCGTATGGCCAAGTTGTAAAAGAGATAAAGGCTAGGGCACTTGATTTTCTTTTTTAGATTTTGCTTATGAGAGTAGAAAATCTAATGTCGATGCTCACAACTTAGCTAGAAGCATGTTTTCTTTTGAGACAGGCAGGCACGTCTGGCTATTAGAACCGTCTGTTGGCGTTTGTAACTCATATGATCAACTCCATAAATAAAGAGCGTGGAGTTCTTAAAAAAATAACAAAAATTCCCACTAAATGATCAATTTAAATACAGACACCGAAAAAGCAGAGCCGCTCCAAATGACGAATTTATAGCTCCAACAAAATCTGGTCAAATTATATCGCTACCCAACTCAGGTAGCAACCAAAACCGCTAGAGAGACGACAAAAGCCAACCCCAAGAACTGACCGCCGGCCGCCGCCGCTCTGCACGCACCGTTCCTGCCAGCGCCGCCGTTGTCTCCGGCGCCATCGCCAGGCTCAACCCCACCGGTGCCCGAAAATGCCGTCCCCGCCGGCGGCGGAGCGAGGACGCGGCCTTTGGGTGCCGGTGGCGGGTGCTCAAGCGAGGGCGGCAGGCCCTGGCCGTGCTCGACCTTAATCTCGAACCGCATCCCCTGTTGGCACTGCACGCCTCCGTCGGCCTCGGAGAAGAAGTAGTTCGTTCCCTCGAAGGTGAGAGCGACCGCTATGGTGCTCTTCTGCTCGAGGCCGCCACCGCCGCCTCCGCCGCCGCCGTAGATGGACGTCGTCTGCTCCAGGTCTTCGCTGGCATCGCAGAGGGCGTACGTGGTGGCGTTGGTGGTCTGCACCACCGACGAGTTGTCGTTCGTCTTGAAAACTGATAAAAGCGAAATCATGGTTGCAAGAATGGTCAGGATGGGTTCAATTTGTTTCAAAAAAGAAGGATGGGTTCAATTTATTCACTTTTCTTGTGCTAATCTGAACTTGAATGTACAATATTCTGATCCAATTTGGACAAATTTTGAAAAATAGAAGTGTCTTGAAGAAGTGGATTCAACCTAAAGAGGCCACGGTTTTGTTGACATCAAATTACTGTAAAATGGAGGGGAAACTGATTGTTTTGTCGGACTATTCGTATTCAGATTTCAGATTACTAGTTTGAATCTAGTGAATGGCAACAGACTTACACTTTTCAGAAAAATATGACTTTGTTTAGCAGTTTTGAATCAAACAATCGACCTTAGTAATATAATAACTTCAACTTTGATGATCTCTTTCAAGGAGGTGGATCAGCACGTGCTACTGCTCTTGTGGCAACACAAGATTCCCATGGCAGCTTCTGGGCCTAGACTGAGCTGATACTCAGATCTGGATCTGAATTCTACTAGTAGTTTCGTGCTAGTAGTTGTTAACTATTCATAGGGCTAAATTGATCCGTTACTGGCGGAGTGTCGGATTCTGAATCGACTTATTGCCGGAGACGACTTTCATTCAACCTTCACAATTGATGCAGTTCAATGTTATCTAACCATCGCATTACTTGGGATACGGAATTAAGGCACTAAGATGGACATCTTATTCGACCTAGAATGCTAGTGCTTGGCTTCCCTGTCTCATGGCACATTGCAGGTTTAAGCTTTCAGTGACAGTAGTGTACACGGACAAGCAAGTTCGGTACTAAATTGACAGAGCAGTAATACTGTAATAGCGAGAGGGGCCATGAAAGACATACTGAGGTAGTCGCCTAGGTAGAAGGTCTCGCCGGCGGCCCAGTCGGAGTAGTTGCCGGACGTTGCGTTGGTGTTGACGTTGAAGAACCACCCGTCGGTGCTGCCCACGGTGTGGTTCCTGTAAGGCGGCGCATCATCCGCCGCCGGTGAGGCAGCCCACGCGGCTGGTAGGCCTGCCACCAGGACGGCGGCCGTGATGGCCACGGCGGCTACCGCAGATGGCAGGAGCCGCGCCATGGATCTCGCAAGGTAGCTCGATCGGGTTCGAGCGCTGTCGGTGGAGATTGGAGTTCGTTGTCTCGTGCTGATGTGCTCTGCTCTGCTGTCCTTGGAATGCTGGCTGATCCAGGCTTTTGTACGCGACCTGGAGGGGCTAGTGCTGCTGCACATGTCGCCGCGTGTGTCATTAGTTCGATATATTGTTAAGAAGTGCGAGTGAGTTTTATAATCGGGATTAGTAGGTGCTGTACTATGCCAGTGCCTACTTATTGATAGTTTTAGTCTTCTGTACAGCGTTACCTTTAGTTCACTTAGTTCCGTTTTTCATGCTTTGAAATACTACAATATATTAGTTCAATTGAGTGAGTTTTGGAGTGTTACCGTCATCCGAAAATTTCAAAAAATGAATACCATCTTATGCCATTTTTCATACAAGTTTCGTTTCATGAGCGAAGCAACTGGAGGCTAATATACGTCGTTTGGGGAACCAGATAACCCTGCGAAAAAATAACCGAGAACCGAACCGAAATAACTGGAACTGAAACCGAATTAATCAAAACCGAAAATTTCGGTTTCTAGTTCAGTTCCTGATATTGAAGAACCGAAATAACCGAAAAAATTTGTTCCTACTCTCGGTTAACCGAATTAACCGAAAAAACCGAATTACATAAATTATACTTCACTTACTTGTATTTTGTAGGATTATGTTTTGTTTTATGTGTAGTGTTTTATATTTGAACTGCTATATATTTGTGTTACTATATTGTTATTGTTTTCTTATATATTATTATTATTAAAAATGAATATAGTGTTGCATAAATTTGGCTTAGAACAAGTATATTTATTATTGTCTTGAGGTCTTCTAAAAAAATTCGGTTAAAATCGAAACCGAACCGAAATAACCAAGAACCGAAATGCTCGGTTCCTAAAAATTTTTGGAACCGATCGGTTCTCGTTTTCTAGGAACTGAATTTCATCAATAATCGAGGGAACCGAACCGAGAACCGAATGTCCACCCTGAGAACCAGAGATGATTACTATCAGACTGTTTTTCTCAGTAGAACAGTTTTTTTTCTTCACTAAAACATTTTTCATCGACACCTTCACCATGGAACAAAAACGGAATAAATATTCTCGCACAAGAAACGACATGCTCGGGGCCGGAGATCGATTTCTTACCAGTAGTCACGCACGCGACATATACTATTCAGGAAGCATGCTGCACATGTAAACTACTGATAAGAACCGAGAAATGATATGATGAGTTGCTTGGAGAAAATATGTAATTGCGACGCGCTTTAATATATCCAGCTGTGTCAACGAAAGGGACGTGGCACCGTACACCGGCTGATCTTTCTATATCCTCCGTGGTCGTCGACGTTGGGCGAAGAAGTGTCGGTCGCCTGCCGGAGCAGCATAGTATGCTCGAGTGCAGGACAGCCGCGGAGACGAGGCCTACCAAGGCGCGCACCGACGGTAGTTCGCGGCGTACGCCACCCACCTACCGCTACCACGGTCTTCGCATCTGCGCTCTTTTTTTTAAGAGAAAACTATTGGCGCAAAAGATTTTCATGCACCTAAGCGTTAGCACGCACGGAATGCAAGTTGGTAAAATATCATCAAAAAATTTGAGCACCGGACCGTCTGGCGATTTCAGTTTTACACATGCTAGACAATCGATGAACGCGGTGCTAGAACTCGCCTACTACAGATGGAAAAAACACGTACGCCGGATTTTTTTTTCGAAATAATATTGTTTTAATAAATAATTGAAATTTTGGATGCTGCTTCTAGCATCTTGTCGACCACTGAGCTGCTGACATGGGGATTAACCGATGTGGCAGTTGAGTAGACGATAGTGGCTATGGTCAGCTCTGATCGTCGACCACAACGCCAACTAGGAACTTGTCGACATTTGGCTAGCTAATTGGGCCTACTGGCTCCTGGTATGCCGAGAGGCGTCTTGTACCTGTCAACATTTTGCACACATACTTACATATGTCGCTAACCCAAACCAAATTTGCACGCTGGTTTTTTAAATCTAATTTAAACGCTGGTTGCTCAGAAGGAATCATCCTCGAGAGAGCTCTCCTATGTACCCAACCCTAGTTCTACTTTTTCCTCTGCCCCTCCCTTTCTTCGTCTAGCGTCCTCGCCAGTGATGAGGGGGAGGTGGGCCAGTCCCCCTGTCTCCTCCAGTACCTTAGCAGAAGTCTAATTCAATTCACGGTGTGCTTTGTTAAACTGTAGCTTCTAAAAAAGTTGTTGTGAGTTGTGGATTGTGGTTATGAGAGTTGTAAGCTATTTTGTTCAAACAAGTATAGAACCTACCGCCTATCTCTATCTTTCTCAAAACAACTATGAAACAACTATCTTTTTACACCATTTCAAAAAACAAAAAGCCAAAAGTCACAGTGTTGCTGGCACGCACCACGGTTGAACCGGCCCCCAGGGTCAAGTTGATGGACACCAAGTCCAGCCGACACCGAGCGCCAACCTCGCCGTGGCCATGAACGAGCTTGGCAGGCTTCAGCAAACTCCCGAGCTCGCCAAGGCCACCACCATGCCCAAAGCGGCGGCGGTTCAGGTCCTCGAAATCCGCAAAAATCAAGCTCCGACTCACTCCACCGGATCCAACCGATCTATGAGGTCCTCGCTCCAACCACCCAGGTGGAAGCCATTTCCACGCTGGCGGCCCCTACATCCAAAGGGGGTCGCGAGGCAACCAAGTTGTAAAACCCGGGCAGCCACCACGCTACGCCAACCCCAACGTGAATCGGCCCCATGGTGGAGATGTTCGGAGTCATCTCAACTAGCTCCATGACGTTCGTCGTCGCATCGACAGAAGGCGCAACTCACGTCATGAAGGAGAACTCCTATGACAATAGGACTATGACCGAGAATGGGGCAATCCTGAGGTTGCCTTTCAGCCGCCCGAGCCGGCTAACTCCGGTAACGTTGCTCGGCTAGCTGCCCGACCTGCTACTGGCGCCCCACGTGCAGTAGGAGCCATAGCCCCACAAGCCATTGATGACGCTGCCATTGTCACTGATGGGCCACGTGCTTTCACGAGACGGCTCCACGCCGTACCGTGTACTGCAAACTTTAAGATTTATGAGGTCCAGCCATATGATGGCCATGCTAATCCCGAGCAGTGGCTAACGAGTTGTGCCATCGCCGTCCGAGCCGGCGGTGGTGATACCAACGTGATGGCCAATTACTTGCCAGTTATGCTCTAGCCCACTGCTATTAATTGGCTCACAAGCCTCCAGCCGGATATCATCGACTCTTGGGACGACCTCAAGTGGATGTTCATCGAAAACTACAAGGCGACATGCGCGCGACCAGCGACAAAGCACGACTTGGCAAGAGTCTACTAGAAGACAGGGGAGATCATTCGGAGCAACATCCGATGTTTCTCGAAAGTGAGGAATCGGATTCCCGATATCCTCAAGGCTGAGGTGATCACTTGTTTTGTCCACGGGCTCTATCATCACAATGAGCACCGAAGGAAGTTCAACAGGAAGCCGTCGGTATCGGTCGGCAAGATGTTCCAAACGGCCAACCAGTACGCCGACGCTCAAGACGCCGAATAGCGCCATATAGAAGAAGTCGTTTGGGCCCATTGGACCGATCGTTCGGCATGCTGCGACGATGATCGCCGTGATGACCGGCCCAACGACGACCGCGACTGCCATTAAGATGACCGCGAACACCATTCCGATGATCACGAATGCCGCGACAGACCGAGAGAGCTCTAGACCTAGATAGTTGCGATGCCGCCGACCCGACAATTTCATTGCTTCTGTCGAGCAACCTCGTGCCAAGCGTAGTTATAGCGCACAGTTCGACAAGATGCTCGACGGCCCATGCCTGTTTCATAAGGGCGCAAAGCACACCATGAGGGAGTGCATGGTCTTTGCCAAGGCCCTACTCGATGAGCAGAACAAGAAGCGCGATGACCGCAATTATGACACAGGCAAGGATCGTGAGCCCCCCAGGGATGCGGGCAATCCTTTCCAAGAAGCCAGCGAAGACCATCCATACAATCTTCGAGGGCCGAGCAGCCACCGAGAACAGGCATGACCAGAAGCTCACAGGGCAGCGAATCCTAGCCGTCAAAGCTATTAGCACCATCGCTGATCCTAGGTACCTTCCGTGGTCGGATCAGCCCATTACCTTCACCAGGGCCGACCAGTGGGTGGAGATTCCTTAATCTGGATGTTCCCACTCATTCTGGATGCCATCATCTAGAAGGTGCGCTTCAAGAAGGTCCTCGTCGACGGGGGGAGTGCCCTCAATATCCTCTTCGCCAGCGCCCTAAAGGAGTTGGGCCTATAAAAGCAGGACCTCACCGCCATAGACTCTTCATTCTGGGGGATTGTCCTGGGTAGGGCATCTCAGCCTCTCGGTGAGATTACGCTGCCTATGCCGTTCGGCACCTCTGACATGTTCCGCATCGAGTACATCACCTTCCTAGTCACTGACTTGGACACCACCTACCACACCATTCTTGGTCGATCAGCACTCACCAAGTTCATGGCTATTCTACACTATTCCTATCTAGTGCTAAAGATGCCAGCACCAGGAGGGGTCCTCTCCCTGCAGGCCAACCTCACTGTCGCTTAAGACTATGAGAAGGAGAGCCTCACTCTCACTGAGGCCTTCAACCTCTCCACACGCATGGAGGCCTGCCTCGTCGAGTCCATGAAGGTGCCCGAGGAAGACCAGGAAATCCTGACGTTGGAGGCACCCAGGAAAGCCACCAAGGCCAATGAAACCAGGGAAGTGAGCCTTGGCCTCGCTGACCTGGCCAAGACCGTGAAGATTGGGGCCCATTTGGACCCCAAATAGGAAGACGCGCTCGTTAGCTTCCTGTGTATCAACGCCGATATGTTCACTTGGAAACCTGTGGATATGCCTGGGGTACCAAGGGAGTTGATCGAGCACGCCTTACATATCTCGTCGACTGCCAAGCCGATCAAATAGAAGCTCCGATGATTCGCATAGGAGAAGAA